GCGTCTTTCTGATTGTCCTCCTTCACCATCCCCACCCCCACCTGACACTTGCTCAGCTCCCATGTGCACGAGCTCATCTGCAAGTATTCCCCACCTTATAGAGGCACTAACTGGGTCTTAGAGAGGTAAAGAGACTAGTGCAAGGTCACAAAGTTTGATGGGATTTAAAACCAGTTTTCTATTTCTTGGTTTTGGCGGCTGGCCGGTAGGGGATCCGAACCCTTGGCCTTGGTGTTATAACACCGCATTCCAACCAAGGGAGCTAGCTCTCAGTTTTCTATTTTTAAGTGCTTGCTAAACACTCACAGTGATCCTCAACCTGCGAGGCCCCTGTGTTACAGGTCACAAGTTAGACTGAATCTTAAGCTAGAGAACAGCACTATGCACCGCTTGGCTATAGGACTTCTGGTCTACCCCTTTATTTTTTATCACTTAGGCCACCAAGATTCCACAGCTTAGGACACTAAGAATCCTGTCTTCTGACTCCAAGTTCTGTGTGTTCCTGTCTTTCCCACACAATAACTACACAATTGTCAAGATGCCCAGAGATGACCCCCATTGAATTGGTGAAGGAAACAAGAACAGGATTTGGTTGCTAATGAGGCTGCAGTTTAAGGAAGGAAGTAAAGACAGAGAACGATTCTTGCACCAATCAGCATTTATAGAGGATGACTCAGGGCGTTAGGAGACTAAATAAGGTTTTAGGAATGTCAAAGTTTTAACAAGTTCACCCCCTAGGTCACCTCAGTGCGTCTCATCCAATTTTTCCTTTCAAGCTGCCCAGCTGTGCAACGTTAGATCTTTACCTGGGTTTATCTCCCGGTAACTGCCTACGCCATACGCGTCAACAATATTCTGGAAGCCAGCTGTGAATTTATTGGTCCTGTTAAACGTGGGAGGGGGTGTCTTAGATTGCACTGTGGTCATGATGGGGACCATGGAGGAGCCACTAAGTTCCTGCAAAAACAACATGTGACAAAAATGTGAAGAAGAGAATCACGGGCTGGGTGTCAATACAGGGACCACAGTCCCAGCTCCTGCTGTCACTCTCTGAGTGAACTTGGGACAATCTCCTGACCTGTCTGAGACTCATAACCTCATTTTTATTCTTTTTTTTTTTTTTTATAAAGATGACCGGTAAGGGGATCTCAACCCTTGAGTTGATGCTGTCAGCACCACGCTCAGCCAGTGAGCGAACCAGCCATCCCTATATAGGATCCGAACCCGGGGCCTTGGTGTTATCAGCACCGCCCTCTCCCAAGTGAGCCACGGGCCAGCCCCATAACCTCATTCTTAAAAAGGTAATACCCTTCTAACACTTATCTAATTCATGCCACNCCCGCGCCTCACTCAGCCAGTGAGCGGGAACCGGTCTGTATGTGGGATCCGAACCCTCGGGCTGGCCCCAAAACGTGTTATTTCTATGGTGAAACCCACACACACATTTTAATATTGTCTGAAGGAAATGAGGTGACACCGCCAGCGGACACCCACCTCATTGTCCGACTTCTGGGACAGCAAGCGTCGCTCATTAAGAACCATCCAGAGGGCTCCCAGGAGCATCACGATTCCGTGCCCACAGTCTCCGAACATCACAGCGAACAGGAAGGGGAAGGTGATGATGGTGTAGGGAGCTGTGGAGGCGAGACCATGACAGCTTGAGGCCTCTGAACATCCTTTGCCGCCCCCGCCCCCCTGTCACAGCTCCACAATCTCATGCTGGTTTCCTTGCGTCTTTCTGATTGTCCTCCTTCACCATCCCCACCCCCACCTGACACTTGCTCAGCTCCCGTGTGCACGAGCTCATCTGCAAGTATTCCCCACCTTATAGAGGCACTAACTGGGTCTTAGAGAGGTAAAGAGATTAGTGCAAGGTCACAAAGTTTGATGGGATTTAAAACCAGTTTTCTATTTCTTGGTTTTGGCGGCTGGCCAGTAGGGGATCCGAACCCTTGGCCTTGGTGTTATAACACCGCATTCCAACCAAGGGAGCTAGCTCTCAGTTTTCTATTTTTAAGTGCTTGCTGGAGGGCGGGCCCGGTGGCTCACTCGGGAGAGTGCGGTGCTGATAAGTGCTTGTTGGGCTCTTTCCACCACACACCACCAGCAAACACTCACAGTGATCCTCAACCTGCGAGGCCCCTGTGTTACAGGTCACAAGTTAGACTG